CTTCCGGCGCGCTTGGACTGGCCCTCCGGCCGCACGTGCACGCGGGCCTTTCCACGCCAGCACACACCCCCCCGCCAGCGCACAGCAGCAGTGGTACAACCCGTTTCCCCCCCCCCCCCCGCCATGGTTCGGTCCGCCCGGCGGTTCCCACGGCTTCCGCTTCCCTTCTCCGCCCCGGGGCCGGTGCCCGCCGCCCCGGCAGAGACACGGGCCCGCGGCTCCCGAGCGGGCCGAACGTCCCCGGGGAAAGAGCAGTGGGGGGACACACACTGGTGCTTACAGCCCCGGAAGCACTGAGACACCTCGGGTTCCCCGGGAAGGCCAGCTCACGGCCCGGCAAAACCGAAATAAAGAAACGAGCCATTAATCCGGTTCCCTGCTCCGGGGCGGAGCACCGGATACGGTGACTCAAGAGTTTGGCGGGAGTAGGATCCTGGCTCGCAGGAAGGCCCACGCTTGGCCGGAGCCTGTCCCGGCCGCGTGGCGTTCAGTGACCCGAGGTGACAACCCCAACCAGACCGCAACGTCCCCTCCCGACGTGGCTTTTATCGGCAAGGGTGTGACAGCGCGTGTGTAACACGGCTCCGGCACCAGCTCCGGCAAGGGGGCCAGCTTCCTAATCCTGCCTGCAAGATGGGGTCAGTGCCCATCGTCATCCTGCCGAGAAGCTGAAGGACCCGCTCAAAATCACCACTCCAAGACGGGGGCAACAAAACGTGATGTGGAGCCAGCATGGAGAAACCCTTTGCTGGGCTGGGCTGCAGCGGGAAAGGTTTTCCCGAGCGTGGGGTGATATTTTGGAGCCACGGATTAACACGTCCTTTTCTGCCAGCTGAGATAAAAATACAGGAGCAAAGGACAGAGCCGCTGGACAGACAGACCGTTCTTGTGGGCATCACTGCTGCTGCCACCGCCGCTGGTCCAGCCCAGCAAGCGGGCGTTCCGCGCTGAAAGCAGCACTGGCAGGAGCTAGAACAAGAGTTTCTCTGTTCTCAGCTCCCGCAGGAAGCCCTCCACAGGGCCCCTCGCTCGAGCAGGCAGAGCAGGCAGCAGTGCGCCTGAGGCATGGCCATTTGCATAATGCACAATATCGAGCAGTCCAGGCTGCCGGGCCTCTTCCTCTTCTGCAGCAAAACAAAGGCATTTTCTCCAAAAGCTGACAAACGGCCCCATCAGAAGCGATCGCGTCCACACCAGTCATCAGCTGCTCCCAGAAGATGTTCACAGAGGAACAAACTGGGAGGACAGAGCAGGGATGGCCCAAAACATACCCATCTCCTATTTTCAGCTAGAGGAAAGCGCATTGCTCCTCTGCCCTCGGCCTGGCACTGTCAGGAAGGGAACCACTTCCATTTTAACACCCAGTGACTCTATTTCTCTAGCAGCTGGAGACTCTGGCCAAGCTCAGGGCCGCGCTGCTCTCCCTGTAGGCTGCGTAAGGTAGTAACAAAGGAATGTTTCAGCCCCTTCACACACTGAGCAGATCAGACAATATGAAGAAGGTAGAAGTGACTTAAGTGGTTAAGCAAAGTGTCCAGGTTCACTCAGGAAGCCCGGGAAGTGTTGGAAACTTGTCCCAGATTTCCTAATTTTCAGTCCAGGGTGTCATCAGGCAACCTTCCTCTAAAAATTGAAAGGTTCTAAAGGAACCACACACATCCCTTTTTTTTTTTTTTTTTTTTGCTGAAGTTCTCTGAGGAACAGGTCCAAATCAAACAGCTAACGACAGCTGCCACCCAAAGCTCCGTGAGCACAGCAGAGGTTGTGGGAAGATGGGAGCTATGTGTGCTCAGGGAGTACGGCTGAGGCAGCAGGTGGAAACCCCAGGGCAATGACAGCCCGTTACTGGGAGCAGAGTTAGTTCATCCCGGCTCTGGGAAGGTGCCATGGCATTTAGAAGTGACGCAGCTGTGAGTAAGGATGAGACAGGGATGGCAGGCAGGGAAAGAATCTCAGTGGAAAATATGCAAGAATGACATTGAAGATACACAACAGGGGGTGAAGGAATAAAAGACAGTATGTGAATGAGAAGGCAACTGGTGGAGGAGGAGCAGACCAGGCACACATATCTGGGACGCACGCAGCTCCAAAGTGATCGATAGCCAGAGCTCCCTTGTACGGGCAAGATGTTTTGTGCAGCAGGACTGCGCAGCCATTGACCACTGAGTGACAGGTTTGCGCAGGTTCGGGGGGGGCTGTTTGGAAATGGCACCCTGGAGGCAAGAGGGACAGAACAAAGTTCAGGCTGTGTTACCTGATGACGTCGGAGACTACGTCTGTCCATGAACATCAACTTCAGCTCTGCGCAGAAGGGGCTGCTGCAGACAGCGGTCTGTCACAAGATATTGAGAGGTCAAATAAGAATCACATGCTTCCTTAACAGGCTAAAGCATATGCGTAACTTCACAGATTATAAAAGCTGTTGTCTTCCCATGTTCTCGTGCTATGACTGTCAAATTATTAATAAAAGGCCATGTTTGGTACTAAATTAAGAAGCTGCAGTACCTGAAACGTATCCTGTGTGCTAGTTAAATAACTGCTGCCTCCACAAACCACAATAACAGAAACTCCTGCACACAAGGGTTTTCACATTTGCAATCACCCTGACTGAAAATCTGTTCAGTGCCACACTGCTGGGTTTCAAGACTGTGCAGACAAACCGTCCCCCGCCAGCTTCACCCTGGCACCTTTCACTGGAGTTCCTTAACCTCTGATAATCGTAACGGGTAAGACTTTTTCTTCCCTCTTCAACACCGTGTAACATCACCTGCCACACGGGACTTAACTGTTCTCTTCAAAGCCCCATACCACGGCACAGGGCCAACACAACAAGGACACCAAGGGTTCACCTCCCCAGCGGGCACTGCCAAGGCCCTGTACCCTGTCCTGTCCCTGTACCACAGGGCTACAAAGGCAGGAGGGGGAAGGCTCAGCACCCACACAGGCACTGCCAAGGCCCTGTACCGCTGAGCACAGGCAGGCCGTGGGCTCAGCCCTCGAAACAGGCTGGGCTGGCTTACCGTACCAGCGGAGGCCAGGCGGGAGTGGCTCCGGTGCCCCTTTCGCTCTCCAGACGGACCCAGGCCCAAGACCCCCGGTCCCACAGCGCGCTTCGCGCCTCAGAGCCGCCGCCTCGAGAAAAGGCTGAGAGCGCATGCGCGAACAGCCCCTTTGGCCCCGGGGCGGGCAGCCTCTGCGCATGCGCGATACAGCCCCTACGCAGGCGCCGCGGGAGGCTAATTCTCTCGGCAGCCTGTGACTAATGTCACGCCGGTAGAGCTGCGCCTGCGCACTGGAAGCCGAGAGGGCGGTGGCCCCTCCCACACACGTGTCCCTTCCACCGGCACGGCACTGCGCATGCGCCCGTCCGTTGAGCGCCTCCTCGGAAGCCGGCCGTTGGCGGAGCGCGCGTGCGCGTCCTGGGGGCGGGCCCTGAGGAGCGAGGCGGGCGGGGGGGAGGAGGGTGGTCGGCGCGCGGTGGCTGTGCCCGCGCAAGCGCAGAAGCGCGCGGGGTGGTCTCGCGCGGGAGCCGGTGGGGAACGGGGGACGACGACGATAGGGGGCGGTCCTTCCGGCCCCTCACTTCCGGCCCTGGCGCTGCGGCGGACGGTGTGGCAGCGCCGCTCGGCCCGCTCCGCTCCGCTCCC